ATCTCTGACAGTCTTCTGCAATTTGTTGGAGAGTAATGTTTGGCTCGTTTTCCAATTTGTTCAGAACTCTACGTCTAATTTCAGCGTCTTTAGATGAAACGAGTCCCTGAACAAGTATCAGACACTTGAAATTATTCGAACTCAATTCTGACAGTTTAAAATCGTCGCAACTTTTGTTCACGAGCTTTCTGGTTAAATTCATACACTTCCATCACTTATGAAAAAGTGAAGTTTTAGGACTAAAATGTTCTGTAAGAAGTTTAACCGCTTCGGTAAATGTCAATTCGCTTGTTTTACGGGATAAAATATAGTTCACAAATTTGGTGTGATCCATGGTGCCTAGTTTTTGAAGTAGTAGGCGAACCTTCTTAGTCTGCCCAATTCGAACAGTCTGTAGCGTATAAATCCTCGTACCTTCTAAAATATGAATCGAACGTTATGTCCTCGTCCGAAGCAAATTCCAAATTGTCTATTGCGCCCCAGATCGTGTTTTGTGAGAATGCATTTTCGTTTTCACTAATTTGTCCCGCTTGTCAGTTCAAGCAATCACGAGTGATTTTTTTTTCCTCAAAGAGATATGAATTCTCAGAAAGTTTAATGTAAGTAAGTTACACTTTTTTCTCCGTTCGATTTCCTATTCTGGATTGTCATGTCCTGTTGAGTAGAACCAATATTGACAATTTCCATGTAGTCCTTTTGGGGTCCTCAAGGGTCCTCGTCGCCAAGTTGTTGGGGCCCAGAATAAAGACACAAGAGTTGATTTGAGTTAACAAATATATTAACGAAAATCGGTAATACAATAATATGCAAACGAGCAAAAATTTATTTATTATTGCATAAATACAATAATTGTGGTACATGGTCGAAGGGGAGGTGGGTAAAGGCTAGTCTTCGCTAACTATCCTATTCCTAGTTAATCACAATCACGAATCATTCATTCAGTACAATTTATCCATTTACCAAAAGAACTTATCCGTCACCATTCAAAATTACATATACCACAATACCACATATTCACAGTGGGCCCTACAAAAACACCCCATGATATAAAATTTCAAAAATACAAAAGTATATAAAAATTTAATGAAACATGAAATGAGTGGGGGGAATGAACCCCGAAAACTAACAAAATTTGAAACAAAAACAAATTCATACAAAACAGATGTTAGTAAGAACCGTCCACCCCTCAACAATAATGAGAGTGGCCGCTGTATTCTGCCGATAGATAGAATCAAGCAGCACACTCCCTAATGGAGTGGGAAGGGTAAAAATAAATGACGAAATGGGAAAAAATCAAAGTCTGACCCAGTCGAGATGAAAAAGAGGACCAAAAACAGAATGGGGGGATCTTGGATCACAACAAAAGAGACAGGCTGGGAACAACACTTATTCACATTAACTAGGAAAACATAAAACGGTCTAACTTAACCAGAGAGAGGGTTCATAGGAAACTGTCCCGTTATCAAACGCTTTCTATCAGTTCTGATTTTCACCTTCAGCTGATGTCGAAAGAATTCGGCCAAAGCCTAATGAGAATAGCATTCATATCGCAAGATTTCTTCCATCTGAGGCGTCCAGATCTCCATTCGCGCCACGGCTAGCAACGTCAGAAACACCATTGGTTTCTTCTCAGAAAACGGGGGCGACACATTGTCACACACGTATGCGAGATCGATGAGCACGAGAACATCGGGAGTGATACTAGCCGTCCATTCGCCGATATAGTCCCAGAAGGGTTGCACCTGAGGACAATGATAGAAGGCGTGTGAAATCTTTTTTTCTAGGCCAAGGTCACACGGATGACAGTCGGGCAAATCCGTCCAGCCCCATTTAAAGATCCTGTCATTGAGAGATAGAACGTTACGAATCAATCACCAGGTAAGCGAAAACTCAGGGTTGCTGAGGTAATTCTCCGCTGGCGCCCAAGACCAGAAAGAGCGCAACTCGGCCAACAAGCAGAACCTTCCACAGAGTGGATCCTTCGCGACCCTCTCCACTAATTCACGATACAAGACCCTCCGAGGCCGTGAAAGGTCAGTGGACCCTCAGGGCCGTTCGACACTCGCTGAGGACAATCTCCCGGACGGTGCTTAGCCCAGTAGATGCGAGGAGTGATAGTAAAGCTAGGTAAAGCGTCCCTAACACTTCCCACCAAAATCGAATCCCCCGTCAAAACACGGCGTAGGAAAGCCAACCTTGAGGCATGTCGGTGACTTACCAAATGAGGCATTTTAGCCCCCCCCCTGACACGGACGCTGGACACAGCATTCTTTGCGGACCTTCTGCTTGTGACCACCCCACAAGAGGGTGAACAACAAGCGCTCGATCACCTTCCTATGGTCCTTACAAAGAGCAAGTACAACCAAGCGGTAAAGGATAAGACGAAAGACGTAAGTGGCACACGCCTCAGCTCTAATCTTCAAGAGCAGTCTCTTTCGGAGTCAAGTCCCGACCGACGCTCCGACCTTTGCCTGTACTTTTGACCATTTTTTTCCCCAGCTGGATGTCGGGTCCAAATCACACTCCAATAATGCGGTCAGGACCGTACGTCCAGCCAAAGGGCCCCGGAAGATCGACCCCTTCCAGGCACCCAACCGCAAGGCGGACGACTTATTGCGGTTAATCTTGGCCCCTGTAACCTTTTTGTATCGTTCAAGCGCCTTCAGTACCACTTCAATGTCGTTGCGGGACGACACGAATGTAGATACGTCATCAGCGTACGCTGAAACCCTGGCTCGAGTCCCTACAGGGACAGCGATTCCACGTAGGGCCGGACTGCATGCCTTGTCCCTTGGCCGGCGAAGGGGAGTCTTCAACGCCAAAGCTTAAAGTAGGGGCGACAGTGGGAAAACCTGACGAACCAACCTAGACAGCGCAAAAGCGCGCGATCGCTTTCCGTTTACCTGTACCACAGCACTGGAGAGCGATACAGAAGGCTAATCCATTTGCAGAAGTCGGGTGCGAATTCGACAGCCTACAGGGCAGCAGCCATGTACTGACGATCGACCATATCAAATGCTTTGGACTGATACAAATTGATCAGCGCGGCCTCATCGTCATCTTTTACTCCCTCTAGGATTGTGCGGATCAGATGCAGGTTGCTCTGAATTGTTCGGCCCTTCACAGCACAAGTCTGATCGGGTCCCAACAGATTCTCGGCAACTGACTGCAAACGCTCCGTCAGGATCTTGGCCAAGATTCTTAACCCTGTGTTTAGCAGAGTTATGGGCCTGTAATCATCTAATTCCCGCCCCCCATCCTTGCTTTTTTCAACAGCGTGATCACACCTCTGGAAATCGGGTCGGGATGGACCTCTGCCGGAACCAGTTGTTGAATACCACTGTCAGAATCGGCACAAAGATGTGCGACAGCCTGAAGTACAATTCATAGGGTAAACCATCAAGTTTTGGAGACTTGCCACTGCCGTCCCTCTTCAATGCGAAGTACACCTCGCTCTCCGTGATCTCACCCTCGCAGTTAGCCGCTTCAGTCGGCGAAAGCCGAGAAAAGTCAACCAAATAGCTGCGAAACTCATCGCCACTGAGACCAGGCTCCTTGGTAGACCAGCTCTCGAAATGTCGCCGAAACGCCTCGGACATCTTGTCAGTCGACCTCAGAGTACGCTCCTCTGGGGTCTTAACCTCACGAATCTCTTCCTTGCGCAATTCTGCGCCCTTGTTCACAGCTTCGTTAGGCATCTTGTTTAACCTATGCCTAACTACCTGATTCTTGTAGCGCTCGCTAGTCGATCGCTCACGAGCCTGCCTAGCTAGACTTATCTCTAGGGGATTCCCCAGCCTCCGCTCGGGACAGACTATCTTTAAGTGAAGGACCGAATCCTACCCATAAGTCTCTCCCACCACCTATTCCCAATAACCGCCCCCACTAGTTCCCGCTGCACTAGTTTAATTAGCTGTTGATGGAAGTCCCGCCTGTCTAGTAAGGACAAATTGAACTTACAGTGTCCAGCCATTCTAGGCCTAAAACCTAACGCCATCCGGGCACGGACGAGTCTATGGTCCGAATAGCCTAACCAGTGGAAAATGGGACAATCTAATAAGTCTAAATCAACACTTTTCACTAACATTCTATCCAGGTAGCTGTCTACCCGGGTAGACGGCCACTTACATGCCCACGTCCACATCTCCTCTCTAGGATGATCGAACCGGTATATATCGACGAGACCGAACTAGCCAATCAGATCAACCAGCCTACGATCACCTAATGACCTCCCATTAGCTCCCCGCCCCTGTCTATATCGGGTTCCAGGATGGCATTCCAGTCCCCTACTAAGAGTAAACACGACGAATCCACTAGGAACGACCCTAACTACCGATAAAACGAGCGACGCTCCGTCTGGTCGGTGGGCACATAAACCGCAACGACCCGAAACGAACTATTGTTCATGGCAATATCGGCCACGTTCAACCGCCCCCGCGTCGACGTGGACAAGGTCCACCCTCGCATCCAGGGTACGTTTAACCAGCACCGGAACACCTCTGGTCTGTTGGTTCCTGTATGCTGAATAGACAAAAAAGTCGCTAGACAGCACACGCACATCAACTTCGCAAACAAACTGTCTCTTGGATCGCAGCTAAATCTACGCCGAAGGACAGGAGATCAAGAAGCAGGCGAGCAGCTTTATTTCGATCCCTCAAACGCCTCACATTTAAACTGGCTAACTTGAGAAACATTTTTTAAGTTGGGTTCCCCTAATCACAGACTTGACGAAAATCTATGGGTGTCAAGACCCCGACGGATTGTCCCAGACTTCCAATCGTCATGTCGGACGTAATTCATCTCTTCGCGATAATGGCGCCGACATCAGTTGGGAAAGAAATCGTCCTATATAGGGTGGAGGTGAACCGGAACCCTCCCTGTGCAATATTGTGCTCATTTCTTTAGCTGGTGCGACTCAGTTCTGACCATTCTAATTTTGGGGAACGCATCGTTCGCTTACGCTACCTAGTCCCATACCTTTAGATTGCCTTTTTACTTTTTTAGTCTGAGGTACTTTGGGAGGGTGAAGAAGGTGTCTCAACCGATGTCTTTTCTTGGGAAGGGTTTGGGGATAGAGAAGATGTTGCCCCATTAGGTTTCGGAGAGGTGGGTGAAGAAGATGGTGCCTCCATGGGTTTGTTTTTCTTGGGAGGCCGGTAGAGAAGGTAGAGCTTTAGTAGGGGACGGGGGAAAGCTCCAAGCCTGACGTGACTCTTGCAGGCGAAACCGGGACGGACCGAGACTTGACTTCATACAGGGCCTTGTCTGCCCTTCTTCTTCCGACTCTCTTGTGCTTTTTTCGAAATTCTTCTTCTTCTTCTTCCCTCCCTCTTTTTAGAGAGGAAGAACGGGGTGGAGGCATTACTTCCACTTCCATCTCTAATTGTACCCCTTCCACAGTCTGTTTAGACTGTGTCTGCTCGGGTTGCTGCTGCATCTGCTGTTGCCCGCCTTCCTTCTCCTGCTCTTTCCGCTGTTGCTGCTTCTTCACATTCGGCTGCTGCAGCTGCTTCACTATTTTCTTGGGGGAAGTGTTTTGCTGAGGGGGAGGGTTCACCGACTTTTTCCCCTTCCTCACAACTTCCTTCCAAACACCAGAGTCACTAGCAGACTGGCCAGATTTCCCATCCTCCACAATTTCCTTAGTTGCAGCTGGGTTGGGTATTGGTGTTGCTGGTGTTATTAATTTTGGTCCATCTTTTCTGGAGGGGTATGCCTTTGACAAGTGCTCCGCCACCCAACACGACCAACAATGGGGGCGACGACCTTCCACAATGACCAAGATAATCTCTCTTCTGTGATGTCCATTGGCACTCCCAACAACAAAACTTTTGTTCTCCGAGTGCCCATGTATTCAGCTTGCAGTCTTAGCGATTTTGTTGTCAGTACGCTGCCTGCCAGTTTCTTTGCATCATCCTCTTTATTCAAAAGAATGTCCCATAAGGTATTAGACCTCCCGGTGAGAATTTTGGGACGTATGTGAAGGCTTTTTAAAGCCTTCTCTATGGCCTTTCTTTCAACTCCGACGAGTCGCCTTGTTACGACTTCCGACGTTAAGAACGAGATTGTCCGGGTAGTGACTGCATTAAGTGCTTCGGGAATCGTTAAAATTTTATTCCCCTTAGTATAAGGAGCATATTTTTTCCGAAGTTCTACATAGTCCTCGGGGCTCTTTTTCGTTGGCTTCGTAGCAGCCCATGCCGACACACACGAGGGTGTTGCTTCCCGCTGCTGTTGGGGAGAGTCCGCCATTGTAGACGTGGGTTCCCTCCCAGCACATATGATGTACACAAAAGCAAAAAGAATACAACAAACGAAAGACTGTTACAAGACTGTATGTGGACGAGAGACAAAAAATGCACTTAAGAATTTTCGTTGTTGCACGTCTGAATAGTCAGAAGGATTCAAGAAAAAAAAAAAACCGCCGAAGAAAAATTCTGACAGTTGGGAAAAAAACTCTACTGACAAAAGCAATACCTGCTTTTATTTGTAAATTGGAAGAGTCCATCAGTGTATGGGTGATTTACCATAACATTATGAAAGCAAAATTTGAAAACAGATTAACTTTCATGGCAATTGTTCGGATGAGCACTTCACTAGAGTGCCAAGTTTTTTTGAATTTAAGCGCAGTACTAGACTGGCATCATGATCTCATCAATTTAAGGTTGAGCTGTCTAGATTTAACCGTAAATTCAATGCTAACAGTTTCTTTTCTCGCTCTTCTTTCTTGTGCAACTTCCGTGCTTTCCAGCCAACTCTAATCTGCAAAAATTTAAATGCAATCTCCATCGCTATCTACTGTCCTTCTGATTACTCTTTCCTCTTCGCGCTCATTATTAATGTTACCTTTTTCTTAATTCTTCTACACTCTATAATCCATTTTATCTTAGTGGCTTTATTGCCTTGCGTGGGATGATACAAATTAAAGAAAAAAATCTTTATCTGATTGTAATAATACATGTTATTCACAACTGCCGTATATTTGTGTATTTTAATTACATGCTTACACGAATGTGTCGTTCTGGTTCATTTACCGAACATGTGCAATATATCCTATTACTGCAAGTATGGTCGGCGCATCTTACAGCTTAACTTACGTAAATGTTATTTGTGTATTTGATGTCAGTGAAATTTTAAAATCTTCGCAAAGAAAAATAAATCATCCGAACCTATTCAGAATATCGAATAATTGTCGATTGTTCTTGAACAAAATTTCCGTTTATGAAAAATTATTTATTTCATAAAATTATGGATAGAAACATATTAATCTGAATCAAATTAAATTTAAAGAAAAGTAAGCATTAAAAAGAAAACTTCTTTCTTATTGAAGACACAACTTTTTGAAGCAAGCAATATCACTTAATGAAACAGTCGAGAGGGGGGGTGGCAAAGAGAATTTGATACACACGGAACATATCGGGAGGCAAACGGGACAATGGAAGGCAGCAAGCCACCGACCTGTAGAACTTATGCAAATGGATAGCGGAACAGAATTGAAAGTGGGGGAGAGAGGGATAAATGTTGCTAAGACCCACAGGTTATAGAGAGCTATGATCGCCCACGTCCTAAAGGGACACAGTACATAGAAGAAGGTGGTCATTATTACGTGGTTTTGACTTGTAATTCAAACAACATTTTAATTATTATTATTAATAATAATAATCTAGAAAACTAGTTCTTCATCTTATTTCTCCCAGATCCTTAAACAAACAATATGTTTGCGTATTAGCGATCGGAGACTTTCACAGTATTCGAATTTCCAGAATAAAGCATTATCTTTATTCTTAATCATTGAAAATTCCTTTTTTATCTTATTTTTGTTGTTTTATTTTGCAAATAAAGAATAAACATCAAGTGAAATTTTCGCTCGCATTCATTACCTTTGGGAGCCTGACATTCCGTGACAGTAACGTTGTAGATTAGGTTACATTTTAGGCTTGTTCCAAGAAGCCAGATAGTGATAATTCCCCGATTGCTACTACTCTGCCATTTTGTTTGAATATTTGTACTCGAAGTATTCGATCTAATAGTCTACGAATTTCTTAGCTGAAGTATTATCATAATGTATTTTGATTGGACTTCATTTTATTTCAGGTGCATTCTGTTACAATTCCCAGGTTATCATTCTATGAAAGTCAAGTGATAAACATGGGCAAAAAAATGTTTTTTAAACCATTTCGCTAACCTGAATGTCTGAAAAAAATGCTTTAAAATGAGGTTACTAAAATAAAATGTAAAAAGATAAATTTTAATTCTAACATGAAATAGCGATTAAATATTTATTAGATTTAATTCAGTCCAGCAAGCAGCCAGATTAAGTAAAAATTTGTTGCGCCTCTTTTCCGAGAGATTTTCTTCCCGACTTGAAAATTAACGCTTTAACAGACACGAGCCGATGACCAATACGCAACTATCCCAGCCATTACATCAAACTGCGACAAGAAGTAAAATGGCGACGACGAAGAAGCTGTACTTTGAAGATGGTGGAGCAGCTGAAATACGGCATCGAAGAGTGTCGAACCTGCAAAAAAATTAAAATGAAATGAAGCCGAAGGATTTTAGAACTACTACTACTATTAATAATAATAATGAATAAATTTATCTTTGATAAAAATCAGGAAATAATTGACCATCTTGTATCAGGTTGCACTGTGTTAGCAAGCACTAAATATAAAACTCAGCATGATAGATTGGACCAATATTTGCACTGGAAAATATGCAACGTTTACATGGGTGGGGGGCTGCAAGAAACTGGTATGAATATCCCCCCCCCTGGTCTAGTTAAAGACATAGGACATATAACACTTTTACGGGATATTACATTACACTCCAGACATTGTGATCAAAGACCAAAAGAACAGAATGTGCTTTCTGATTGACATGGCAGTTCCTGCAGATTGTAATGTATCTTTGAAAACCTTAAAAAAAAAAACTATCAAAATACAAGGACCTTGATGTGGAAATCTAAAATTGTGGGACATGAGGACATCAATAATTCCAATTATAGTTGTAACCCCCGGATTAATGGGAAAGCTTCAAATAGACTCATCGAAAGGATTCTTGGTACAGCTTACACATTATGAAGAGTTTTGTCTATGTACATTGTGTGTGATCTTAGTTTTTCTTTTCAAATGACTACTGGAAAATGTCATGGTGCTATTTTAGATCTTAAGTCTCAGGTTGGGATCCGAAAGAAATGTGTACACAAAAAAAAAATAAAAGGAATAATAATAATAATTTGGAATCTTTCAAGGAGACTCCCTGTCACCCCTTCTGTCTTGTTTGTCCTTAATCCCCCTTATGCATGAACTAAACAACAGTGGCTATGGCTACAAACTAAACAAGAATGTATTCAGTCACCTACTCTGCATGGATGATCTCAAACTCTTTGCCAAAGACGACAATGAATTGAAGGGTCTCCTCAATATTGTAAAATGTTTCAGTGACGACATAGGTATGGATTTCGGATTAGATAAATATGCAAAAGTAACATTCAAGAAAGGGAGAATTACAGAAATATATTCAATAGATTTAGATTTTGTTACAAAGATTAGAGAACTGGAACAAGATGAAGCCTATAAGTACCTAGGAATTAGCGAAGGAAATGGTATACAGCATAACCAAATGAAGGAGAAAGTGAAAAAAGAGTACTACAGGTGTGTGCGTCTGGTACTAAATACCGAGCTGAATTAAAAAACAACAAAAAAAAAAACCCAGATTATCAGCCATAAACACCTTGGCTATCCTGTGGTGCAATACAGTTTTAACATCCTTAACTTACCATCGCTGACATTAAGCGAATGGACGCCAAAACGAGAAATCTCACTTCCTACCTTACGCATCATCCCATGTTGATCGTCTGTATGTGCCCAGATCCGAAGGAGGCAGAGGTATTAGTTCAATTAGAACTGTCTTACAAAGGTACAACAATTGGCCTTCAAAGATATCTGGGAACTACAGAAGACTGGATGATGATATGTGTCAAAGAACATGAAAGTAGTAAGTGAATTAATTCCGTAATAAAAGAAGCCAACAACCTTCAAAATGGTGTTTCAAATGGGTGTAGAAATACAAGTAAAGCCCAATAGACCGACTGAAGCTGCAAAATAAAAAAGAAAGCAAAGGCAAATGCAACCGACCAGATACAGAAATGATGACAAGATAAACAGCTTTACGGCCAATACCCTGCTCGTACCGAACAAGCTGATGTATACAAACCCGTACCCATCAGTGGCTACATAGTGCAGGGTTAAAAGCTGAACCGAAGGTTTTATCCTTGCTGCACATGGCCAATGCTTGTTAATCAGAAATTATCAAGCACACATACTAAAATAGTGTGTTAGCCCTGTGTTGAATATCCAGAAACAATTGATCATCTTGTATCAGGTTGCAAGGTATTGATACCTACTAAATATAAAACCCGGCATGACAGAGTGGGCCAATATTTGCACTGGAAAATCTGTAATTTCTACGGGAATGAAACTAAAAGAAATTGGTATGAACACCAACCAAACCCGGTTACGGAGATATTACCTGTAACAATTTTATGGGACTACACAATACATACAAACAGAACAACCAAAGCTAATCGGCCAGACATTGTTGTTAGAGGCCGCAAAAAAAAGAAAAGAAAAAAGCCTCCTTATTGATATGGCAGTCTCTTCAAACTGCAATGTATCTTTGAAGATCTTCAAATAGCTATCGAAATACAAGGACCATGAAATCGAAATCTTAAAAATGTGACACATGGGAACATCAACAATCCCTGTTATAGCTGGAGCCCTCAGGTTGGAAAAGATTCCAGTAGACACATTGAAGGTATTCCTGGAAGCCCATACCTTAAAGAAATACAAAATATTGCTCTAACATGTACGGCTTACGAAGGGCATTATCCTTGTAAAATATGCGTGTTGCTGCCCCTTTTTTAATTGCTCAGTGGAAAAGAAATGTGTACACACCAGAAATCAAAAGAAATAAAAATAATATCATACTAAACTGGGAAAAGAACTTAAGTAAAACAGAGGAGATCAGGCGTGGAAACATAAGACCAAAATGCGAATGGATCACAAATACGAGCAGGAGTCTAAAAAGGAATTAAAACAAAGATTACATCAGGTAGAGTGACAATAAAGCGATACGATGAACGTTGCATACAGTTATATCAGAACAACTTGTTCAGGATGAACCCAAATTATTCTATGATGAATTCAATGGAAAAATTGGTGAGAAAACTCATTTGTTCATTTTGAGTCAACAAAGTTTTGAAGAAAAAATTGGCAGATGATATCAAGCACAACATAAGTGCGTCATGATTACCAGAAGAGTATAAGTATTAGCGCATCGCTGATTCTTTTCAACGGAGTCTACTATGTGTCGGCGCGAGGAATTAAGAAATTCTTTCTTACCTGTTAGCCATACCGCGTTTCTTCTTGAGATATTCCACCTCCAAGAGGACTCCTTCAAGCCAATATTTGCCGTCGATTATCTTGTATTCGGTTCCTTGTCGACAGGTGCATTTATAACCCCCAAGACTAAATCCAAACTCGTGTAACAATTTACACTAAAAAAGAGAAAAAATAATTAAAGGTCGAGTTAAGAATATATGCGGGGACAAACAAGCACGCATGCACTTGTATGTTTATATGAAATAGCATTTCCCGTACGATCACCATTTAAGCAACGTCGAGCCTGGTCAGTACCTAGATGGGTGACCGCTTGGGAATAACAGGTGCTGTAAACTTGGGTGTGCGCGAAGTGTCATGGATAATAGCTAGGAATTATTAATCGATGAGCCAAATTCCAATTTTAGAAGGGTTCGTTATATATGCGCAAATACCCTTGGTAAAGACATGAATCCAACACTCCCTCCAGCTATGAGCTAATTAGTAAGAATTGTATCACTAAATCATTATTATCTTAAAAAATTGTTACAATCTAAAAATATTTTCTGGCTTTAAATAACTTTCAGAGAGTTGACAAGCCGTAGAAAACGAATCATTCAATCAACCAATATTCATGTTATCTATCTATCTATCTATCTATCTATCTATCTATCTATAAAGAGTTCACGATACTTATCAATGACCGGCTATAAGTTTCGCGATGTTAACACTCCTCAGGGTGAGATAAGAATAATTGTATTAGTGACATAGCATATATTTTTATAAACGCCTTATTAAATACGTGCGCATTGGGAAACCTTTAGGCGATCATAGATAAGTATTGTTGACCTTTTATTCATTAATAATATCCATTGCTCTACATATCTGTTGAGCATTCTTATTGAAAAATTTTGCACATCTTGACATGTAATAATAAATTTATACATATTTGTAGGTGATATATATGTAGAAAAAAAGAGAGAGAGAGAGAGAGAGAAAGAGAGAGAGAAAGAGAGAGAGAGAAAGAGAGAGAGAAAGAGAAAGAGAGAGAGAGAGAGAGAGAGAGAGAGAGATGCTTAAAGGTGTCTTTAAAAGCCTTTAAAACGTTTAAAATCCCAGTTTTTATGAGGTCTTTGGAGTTACTGTAAGATTTACGAAAAACATCGTTCCTCAGATGCTACTGTAACTGTTCATTAATCAATATAATAGTTACATTTAGTGGATATACGTGTTTGAGTAGACATCCCTATTTTCTTTTAAACTGAAAATAATACCTACCAGATGAGAGCTCGAAAGTCTTATGAAAGAAAATATGATACTCGATAGGACTCCTCCTTATAAAAATTTAAATAAAACAAACAAAACAAAAATAATAAAAAAAACAGGAAAGTCATTCCTACATCCTGTTTTTTTTCTAGAGGCATATTTTCTTTAATAAGATTTTCTATATCCAGTAGTTATCAATTACAGTTAAATGAATATATATATATATGTATATATATATATAGTGACAAACAAACACTTAAAAAGCCATGGGTGATATTTTATTTCATTGAAGCCGATAAAATATGGCTTCAAATCCTCAGACCTGTAAACCAAATGAAGATGGAAATATTAACTTTAGATTTAAAAATTAAGAATAGTGCTTTCATATAGGGAGTAGGGGAAAGAAAGATATTAAGTTATCATCGTGTAGGAAGGGGAAAAATGAAAACTCTCTCAGTTGTATTAACACACGTGGTGATCTAAAATGACATCCGGATTGTAGATAAAAATCGTTATATTAAATTTGCAATTGAGAATACATTTGAAAAAGATTTTAAGTTTAAATTCGAAAATCTGTCTGGATCCCTCCTCTGTTAAGATTTTGACACATATGTATTCAACTTAAAAACCCTGTTATAATTTATATTAAAAATAATAATAGTATAAGAATATATATATATATATATATATATATATATATATATGTGTGTGTGTGTGTTTTAAAATATAATTATGCATGACATTCTCCATAAATAAATAATAAAAAATAATAAAAAAAATAAAAATGCTATGAAAGAAGAAAATATCTGTAGATAAAATCCATTTATGTAAAGAAACAATTAGATATATTATATACAGTCTATAAAATACGCAATAATCCCAAACCTTTTATAATTTAAATAAACTTATTAAAGTTTAACGGGATATGAAGAGATTTAAAAAAAAAAGATTTTTATTTAAAAAAAATGAAGTTAATCGGATCAGAATTATCTAATATATCTCTACTAAAGTTAAAAGTTCACAGATTTAAGTTCAATAAGTATTGAACATATATTTAACCACTCTCAACATATAAGAACTATATATGTATATCTGTATATCTACACATACTCATATATAAATACAAAATAAACAGATCAAAACCATCTACACCTAACCCAATCATATAGTTATACACCCCTGGTCAAAATCTTAAGAACAGATACAAAAGGGTTAAAAAATATATAAAATACTGTTACTTTAATCAAAATATATTTGCGAAACATTTACATTTAATAAAAAATGTAGTTTATCAAGAAAAAAGTAAAAATTTTAAGTATTTAATTGATTAATTAAAACAAACATTGAAAAGATTTTTAATTATATAATTAAATTAAAAACATTAGTTCTTTTGGCGTTAAAAATAAAATAAAAAACAAACCCAGACGACATGCGTTTAACGGATGTCAGAATTCGTTGAAAAATGTATCCCTACCCTCCCTAAACTTAACCTTTTTTTCGAACGTAACTCATAATTGATACAACAATAGTTAATAAAAATGAGCACGCTATCGTCCCTGTCTAAATGATTGGATTCCTCTGTATCCTTGGAAACAGGAAATTTATATGTGCGTTTAAAACTCAGTAAATTTAAAAATAAGTTATTCCAAAATTTGCTTGAAAATGAAACGGAACCAATGCTTTTAATTTAATTATATTATCAAATTTGAAGTTTTTAGCTTCGGTTTTTAAACCATGGTCATTACTGTGTAGCGAAGAAACCATATTTTAAATCAGTTAATTTATAATATTTATGCTCTGTAAATTTACATAGAACACTGTTTTGTAAAGATAAAAAAATATCAATAAGAACACCGGATTATATATCTTACTGTTCTTTCTTTTTATTATATATATATATATATATATATATATATATATATATATATATATAACCTATATTCATATATATACATATAATACCATAATATGTATATATTACATATTAAAAACAATCTTATGCCCATACAAATTTTGCACTTCAATACATCCATATATACACATATATATTAACGAATAGAATCATTTCATGTGTCTTAAATTCCACTTATAATCTAATATGCAAGCATAATATTACAAAGATACCGACACATAGAACCACACTCTATAATTTGCATATATGCACATATACATATATACACACACATATACAATTCCATATACACATTTATACGTAAACCCACAAATTCATAACCATATACATACATATACATATATACACATAAACACATATACATGTACTAATACATATACACATGCATATAAACACACTTACGCAAAAATTATGCATATATACATATACATGTATACAAACATATCTATATACATTTATACATGTATATATTCTTTCGCACTCACAACAAGTGAATAACTACTGGTATATACCACCCCCGTCCATTATTCACTTACACAGGTGCTCAAATTTACATATCATATAACCACAGGTACATTTATATACGAAAAAAGATATATCTATACGCACACATATCCATCACACACACACACACACACACACACACACACACACACACATATATATATATATATATATAAACACACTCAAAAAATATACATATCGAAACACATATATACACCACAACCTTAACCTTCAGAGTACAATAAACACGATTATATAGACCTTAACCTTCAAAGTAAATATAATTATGCAATAGCATCACATCCAATGAAGATACAAATTTGAAAACATTAATATATGTCATGTCATATCTGATCTTATATAATCCAGAGGAAGTGGTTCTTCTATATTTTAAGGCGATGTTTGTGCCTGCATTTGGATATTAGTTCACTCCTAAGATTCAGTAACTTTTCCTGGTTTTTGTATTTAATTATAAATATTTTCTCATAGAGACATAAACGTATTAACGAGTTTATTATTGTGGGCTGAGATGATCTTCTCTACATTGTTAACACAAGAGTAATTGATTTTATGTGCTTTCCTATTATTTTTTTTTTTGTTAATGGATTCTTATCGTTAAAATGCTTATTTATTAATTTCAGGAAGAAACGGCCTATGCTGGAAAGCCTGCAAAAGGGTGGGTTGAACCACATGACTTTCCTTTTCCTGTTTCTGGAATTATTAAAATTATATATATATATATATATATATATATATATATATATATATATATATATATATATATATATATATAAGCAAATATATATAGATCCGACAGTATGAAGAAAAATATACTGAAAAAACGTTGACATTAAACATTAAAACAGCATAATCGCATATTAGGATTTTTGTTTGTTTTTTTCAGTATATTTTTCTTCATATATATATATATATATATATATATATATATACACTGTTTATTCGGAAAGCATTTAGCCATAATAAAAAAAATAGCCTACTTAGGGCAATGACACCTTAGTTTTTATCAAAGTATTTACCTTGGGATCACGCATATATATCCAGGGTCCCCAGCCTAATAATTGAATAAAATTCGTTAATAATTCCTTAATTTCCTTGAAAGATTCTGCTGAAATTTCTTGATTTGGAAACATTGCGTAACAGAGAGACAGAAAGACAGACACACAATAGCCTTGCCTGCGCACAGCTAAAAAAATGAATGGACGAAAGAACACACATTTTAGAATGTAAACTTTTCCATCATATATAATCTCTATATTGCATTCGTTGTATTAATTGTCAGATGAGAACTTAGTTTTTGATGAGCATGCCTTAAATAACAATGTGTACCAATAAAAGTCTTATATTTTCTACGTTTTTTTACTGGCCATGTGACTATGTTCCTATTCCTATATTACTCAAGAAAATTGTCTTTTAGTTAAAGCAGCATATAGTCTTACCAAGTTCGTCTTTCACAGGCATGAACCATGAAGCAAATTC